ATCGGTTGGATGTTTTAATTATAATTGATATATTGATTATTAATTAAAAATTAATAATCAATATATCCATGTAATACTTTATGCCGAGGACACGTTCCTATTAGTGTAAAACAAATTGAAATTTTAATAAAAAATTAACATTCTCGTTTATCAGTATGAACAGGATGATTTTACCATCAATTATGGTAAATAAAAAATTATTTTATTCAATTAAGAGTAAAGATTGCGTTAAAATCAAAATATTAATCTTGAGAAAATTTTGCAAAGATAATCTTTGTGCTCTGTTTCTTTGCTATTTTTAACTACAGTATTCCACATTCAATTAATACAATTTATCCAAATCTTAAAACTCTCGTATGAGAATCATACAAATTACTAATTGATTTTCACTCTACTATCCTTAATTTATTTTTTCTAATATTCAACTAATTTTAATTCTCAACCTCTTTTATTCTGTGGAAAAGCTCAGCTGCTCCTTCTTTCGAAACTAAAATTTGAATATTGTGTTTCTATTCCAAGTTACTTCATGCAAATGGAATTGCGTATCAATTACGAATTCCATAAAATTTAAAATATTGATATTCAAAACGTACTGTATATGCATTCTTCCTTTAGCGTTTTTAAATGTATTTTTTTATCTGTAGAAATAACTCTAAAAAATATTGATAATCTCAAATATTTCTCATAATTGAATCTCATTTAAACTGTTACAATATTAATCGTATTATTTTATCTTCATATCAATAAACTTCCTAACTTCCTAATTCTTAATGAAGTTATGAATTAGGGAGTAGAATCAGTTAAAAAACAACAACTCTAAAAAATCCATTATTATTATGAATATCCTGTAATTCTTTCCGATAAATACAGTTTACTGAATATAATGTAAAGTCAACTTTATTTTCATAAAAATCAATTGTATTGATTCGGCCGTACGCTTTAAAACGCATTTTGAGAAAAAAACCTGTTAAAACTTCAGTTTTTTAAACTAATAAAATATAGGATTTTCGTAGAATGATTTCGTTGACTTCTTGATAGTGTTTTGAATTGTTACTACAATTACCTTTTTTATATTTTAAATTTAATCTTAGCTCAGTCTGCAGTAAACCATTGATTTGAATTTCTCTGATAAAAGTATCTGTAATATTATCAATGTCTGAATACAGTTCATCAAAAATTAATATTATAAACTATCTCATAAACAGTTTTTAAACATGTTTGAGATGCTAATAAGGATTATACTACCTTTTATTTGCATCTCGTGATACTTTTACATTCAAAAAACCAAACGAACCAACAATTTAATACAACTTCATTCGATGAGGATGATAAGAAGTGATTGAGATATTATACCAAAGTAATAATTTTCTATGGGACAATGGCATAGTTTAAAAACTTTTATTATCTTATATGACCTCTTGCTTGGATATATGCGGCGATATGATCAGACATGTAGTCATATATGCATCATATGCTATTCTATATCAAATTTTCCTCATAAGTCTCACATTCTAGTTGGCTAAAGCTGGTGTTGCATTTGGTCTGACAAATGCTTAATGGATGACAAATATGAAGACCAAGTAGTCGTCATAACAGAGATATTCCTGACAAACCCTAGCGGAATGAAGCCAAGCATTGTCTTGCCTTAAAATGATTGTTTGTAGCCCTGTCATAAAAAGCAACACATAAAAATGTAAGATTTCCTGAACGTACTGTATCATTGTACTGTCAATATCGGTTCTACCACTAGCAGGGGTAAACTATGGTTTTACGAGATGGCTCCCCACATTAGAAATCAGAGTGTCATTTAACAGTATGTAGCTCACCAGTAGTCCTCCACTTGTGAACATTACAAATCGATAAACAGTGGTCATTTGTTCCCAAACAAAATCGGAATTTGTCGTTAAAAATTATACACCGCTAGTCTATACCAGTCTGTTACTTTCTGCTTATCACTATATACAAAGTCGAAAATGTTGGGATACTAATAGCAGGTTCATGCAAATTTGCCTCTGCTAGTTATTTTCCTAGCGAAAAATGAATAGACTACATTCTGTATAAAGATTTCCACTTGTTCTAGATTGTGGATAAAGATACAACTTGCAACTGTTCGCGCTTTTGTGGGACAGCAAGAACAGCTACAAAGGTAGCTCTCCTGATCTGTTTGAAGCGTCCAGATCCTTCTTGCCATGACATAAGTGGGAGATTGAAAGCACTGACAGTCAGGTTCGAACGGCCAGATGGCGAGAAATTTGACGAAACGGTCTTCGTCAAACGCCATCAGCCGTGCATAATGTTTTGACTAAATTGTACCGACATATCAGGCGTTCGAAGACCTCCAAACAACAGATATACTGAAAATTTTGAACACGATGAGCCTCTGCAAGCCTTTTTATAATATAGTGGAGTAACAATTATGTCACTCTCTTGGAATTACTTGGCATGCAATAGGCTACAGTGTGATCCGATTGCATGCCAGGTAATACTTTGTTTTATTTTGTAAATAAAAAGATTAAATTAGGTATTTATAACACGAATAAATAAGCACAGTTAACAAAAACTTATAATAAGTAAATGCATATAATTCAACATTGATATTTAAACATTTCTGTAAGCAATAAAATAAATAAAAGCATCTACTGAAAGGCTTATAACACTTATGTATCTGTCTAAAAGCATATCTGTATGCTAAGTTTTGCAGTAATCGGAAGTAAGTTTCTTCAATAAGTGCATTTATTATTTGATTTTTATTGATGCGTTGAATAAATCTTTTTTATTTACGGAAATATCTAAATGCTTCTGTCTATACTAAAACTTTGTTTTATTTTCTAATAAATACAAGGTGGTTATAATTAAAGTTGCCATACTCAGACCTGTATAGAGTCCGTTCTCGTTGACGTATTTTGATGAAATTCGGTATATACAGTAGTTTATAGTTTTTATGGACCATTGGAAAAAAGAAAATGCAAAAAAATGGTTCAAATTTCTACCACTAGGTGAAAAAATGATGCATGAAGAACAAGAAACACAAAATGGAAACATGCAAAAGATTTTATTCACGACATTTGTTCAATGTGCGTTAATCACATGTTCAAAGCGCCTTACAGCGTGTTCAACAGTAACCCACTAGGTTTCTTGAGAAATTGCAGCAATATGGCATGTTATGTTTGCCTTCAATTCAGGCAGAGTCCGTATGATTGTGGGGATAACTGAAAATCGTGTGTGTCTATAGAGGAGACATACGAACTCTGCCTGAATTGAAAGCGAACTTAACACGCCATATTACTGCAGTTTCTCCAGAAACGAACGTATCGGGCTACTGTTGAATACGCTGTAAGGCGCTTTGAACATATGATTGACGCAAATGGATTACACATTGAACGAATGTCGTGAATAAAAACCTTTTGCGTATTTCCATTTTGTGTTTCTTGTTCTTCATACGCCATTTTTTCACATAGTGGTGGTAGAAATTTAAACTAATTGTTTTTTTTTTTGCATTTTCCTTTTCCCCATGGTCCATATAACGTATATACTGAGTTTCATCAAAATATGTCAAAGAGAACGGGCTCTATACAGCAACTTTAATCATAACCACCCTGTATTAATGCTAGTATAAGACAAAATGTATTTTTGTTACTACATATTCGTATATAGTAGATTGAAAAAAAATTTTTCATGAAAATAAAGACGAAATATTTCAAGTGAATAATTTCTCTATTAATAAATGTTAAATTATATTATTTTCATTGATAGATATTGTTAATTGACATAAATCCAAATACAATAAAAATACAGAAAAATCGAATTTTTATCTTGAAAAATTTCTAATTGTGATAATTTTATAAAAACTAAAGTAACCCTAAAGTTTGGTAATTTAAATTTCAGATTAATGGATAAAAACAATTTTTAATTCTGAATTGTATGACCTTAAGATGCGTCAGTTGGTAAGTAGCAATTTACATAAATAAATATTTAAAATTTTCGAATTTGAAACAAATACGTATATACAAATAAATCATCAATTAGAGATGCACAGAGATGCATTATTAACTATAGATTTAAAAAGGACGAATTTAGAAATAAAAGTGTTTGAATGAAAAGAATTCATATAAGTTTCCGAAATTGATATACTGCAAATAGCTATATAATTTATGTTAAATTATAAATTTTCTTTTCATAATTGAATAAATATTATAAAAAAGTATATCTTACACGATCATTCGAAATCATTATTTATTTTGATTACAGATTTTCGAAAAAATATTTTAATACTTCAGTTCGAATGCACATTTGTAGAGAAAAATTGCTTAATCAGTAATAACAAATCAAAATCTTTCTCAAGAAATATTACTTTCACTGCATTAAATTTTGATACTGTATTTAGGTTTGAAGAGGAAAGTTCCTTCATCAGCTGGTTTTTAATGTCCTTTGTGCAATTTAATTTTTGAATTTCCTTTAAATAATGAACAATTATGTTTGTTAACACATGATCTGTTTAATATAAAATTTTTAATAAGATGTTCTGTACTGTATGTACATATGTGTAATGTAAGATGTTTTATTAGTTTTATGAAGAAATGTAATTAAAGCATTAAAATATATAAATACTGTAATGCTAATTCATTTAATAATCATGCTTATTAAACTAAATTTTAAGTAATTAAAATATAAAAATAATTTATATTAATTTTATATTAATGTACAAAATGCTGTTATACAAGCGCATACTTTTTTTTAATGATCTTTAATTTAATATACAGATAATATATTGTTTTTTATATATTTTGAATTTAATTATTAATTAACGAATTTGTATTAAAAGAGACGTTATAGGCCTATATATTTGCGAATTAAAGGCTTATAACATTTATGAATCATAAAATATGGTTACCTTTTCTTTTAGAAAGGAATAAATTTGAAAATATATATTAGATTTGGATATACAATTTTGAAAATTAAATATAACTTAAAATCATTTGTAAATTAAATTGTAAAATTACCTTATGAGTTTCTTTTCCTTTAAACTGTATGGCATCTAAAGTAAAATCAACTCTTCTTCCTTGATCATCAAATTTTAAAATACCAGTTAAACCAGGAAAATGAATCTAAATAAAAATATTAAATTAGTTATTTATAACACGAATAAATAAGCACAATTAACAAAAACTTATAATAAGTAAATGTATATAATTTAACATTAATAGTTAAACATTTTTGTAAGCAATAAAATAAATAAACGCATCTATTGAAATTAAAATTAATAATATTTTCAGTTCTGAAAATAAACTATTTTAATTAAAAACTTACATTTTTTATATAATTTACAGTTACATTTCCTGTTGGCCATTTTATATCGTATTCACATGAAAATTTCTCTAATTGTATGGGATGTTGGACGTCTAAATCATGAAGAGCTTTAGCAACAAGAGAAATGCCGTCGTATAACAAAGCATGTTTAAGCTAAGGAAAAGAAAAGAATCAAACTTAAATTTTAGTAACAAAATAAAAATGAAAATAATAAAATTATAATTATTTATTCAAAAATCACATTTTAAATTGTAAACTTCGTTAAAAGATTTTCATTTTACACACTTTAAGAACATTGTTTTATAAATGATTTTATTGTCAAAAAATGTTTTCAAATCGAAAAGTTGATGAAAATTCATTATTTATTCTTTTAGATAAACATTTTTGAACAGTTATTAAATTTTGATTTTGTTACATAGAAAAGGATAATCCTGTTATTCACCATTAAATATGTATCTTTTTTGTCTATAAAAGTAAATGAAATTATTTAAAATAATAAAAATGATTTAATATTCTTACGATTTACAGTACTTTTTAATAAAATAAATTTAAAAATAAGATTAATTTTTGTTTCAAAAAATTAGATTAAAAATTCATTTTAATTGTTTTTGGTATTTAGTAGAATTGCACTCAAGTTTTAATGTAATGTATTAAAAAAATAGAAGAATAAAAATGACAGAGAAATAATTATGAGAAAGAACAGATAAGAATAAAAGAAAATTCTTTTACTATTTTTTTTAAATCTATTATCTTCAGAAAAGAATTTAGCAATGACATTTAAAGTTCGATATCGAAAATATCTCCTCTTGAAATTCTTTGAAAATGCATTTTAAAAAAAATTAAAACTTTTAATTACATGTAAAATCGATTGATGATTATCACTTCAACTTAGATTTAAAATCAAATTCAAAAGTTTTGACGGGAAAATAGTAAAAGTATCAATCTTATGAAAAATTTATAAAGGAAATTTTATCTCTGAAATATAATATTATGTTTCAAATATGTAATAAAATATTATTTACTGTTTTATATGATATAAATTAGACATAACTTACTTTCATGGGTTTCCAGCGATTTAAATTCCAAACATCTGTGTTTGTATGGTCGTTATTAATCATTCTAAAGCTGCTGATATTAGTTAATCCATTCTTAAATTGACTAAAGTTTTCAATATGAGCATCCTATTTGAAGTTTAGAATTAAAGATAAAAAGCTTAAATAATCAATGCAAACTTATCTGTAATATTAAAAATATATATCAATATTCTGTATCTATTTTAATATATTTCCACTTTTAATAGCAAAGAAAGAAATATTTATCAGTAAATCAGTAGTCCACCATTACACCTCAGAAATATATTACATTCTAATTGTGTTAAAGCTAAACTAGGGTATAATTTGTATGCATACTTTAGAAAATCTATTTTACATTTTATTTATTATAATGAATTTTTAATTAATTAATGTTAAATAGATATAAACTTACAATAAAAATTTCAATTTCTTAATGTTTTCTACTATTTGTTTTGTTCTACTAATTTTCTATTAATTAAAGTTATACTGACATATTAAAAATATTGATTTTTATTATTAAAATGTATTTTTCTAATGTATTTTTAAAATATTTAGATGTATTGGTTTTAATCGTGTTTATTCTTACTGTATTATTTCAAAGCAACAGAATTTAAGAAGATTGCCATTCGACCAAAACACGAAGAGAAAACTTAAAAAACACACGTAATATTATATTTCAAAAAATATTCTCAATAACTGGATCCTTTTTACCACCAAATAGTAATTCTACCTACATCCTCAGACGTGAAAAGAAAGTTTCACTTCAAAGGATGGAAAAAGTATGAGATCACTTTCATTTTATCGATCTTCTCGCTTGTTAACATAGAAACGGCTAGAAAAATTCAAGAATTTTTTTATGCTCATTGATTTTACTCTTCCTTTAGGTTATCAAACACCTCAATACTTAGAAAATCCGTGATCGGTTTTATTAATTTCGCAAGAGTTGGCATGACTAACTCTTTTTAAATATTTGGTTAGCGTGTAGACAACTCTCGCCTTCCAGTTAATCAATTACTTTCTTAATTCCACCACTACATAAACCTGTTTATTTTCATCCATATATTGATAAGAATCTTTCTAGGTGAACACAATCTTAGCTGAAATAGGATTGATTAGTTACATTCTGGATCCAAAGGTATTCCATGTATTTCTTATTTAACTTATTGATTTTAACTGTAACTCAGTTATTATAAAAGACAACAAAAATTTCGATTCATTTCTGTAAATACTTTTTACATTAATTTTATTTTATGAATATATAATTATATATATATATATATATATATATTTATTTAATTCTTATCATTTATGTTACAAAATTAAATTATTTTGATATATTACAATTTTATTTACTAATTGTCTAAGTGTTAATTATTTAAATAAAATTTTTATTCAAATTAAAATGTACTTAAATAATTTTTAAATTACTTAATTAAAATAACGTAATATTCGATAAAATTTAAATATTTTGCAGTTGTAGTATGCAGTATTTATGTAGTATATCTTGGAAAAAAATTTTCTGATCGATTAGATTCGAAAGTATATACCAGCAGACAAACGAACTGACGACAAATTAAGTAGAAATATTATCAAAATTTTTCTTGTAAACATTATATATTATTATGTATATTATTACACATATTACACCTAATTCATAAGAATTTATTACAAGATATTTCTAACAAATTAAATACCCGATGTCATGTTTAACATTATAAATAAAAATATTCCTAATAAAATAAACATTATTGATGAACATCATTTAACTAATATACAGTTTATAACTCTTTCAAACGCATTAAATATAAATATATTTATAGATTTAAAACCTTGATCTTAGAATATCTTGATTTAATATTTGGTATTATTTACTTTAAAAATTACTTATTTTTTTATCTATATTAAAGTCCTTTTGATTTAAAATGGGGTTTTGGGATTTATTAATAAATTAAATACATTTCTATAATTAAAAATAATCTTAGCATCGCTTACCTGGCAGACATATCGGATTTTAATGATGAAAAGATTACTTAATCATGAATCTTTTAATGAAATTTCTTCCCCTAGACATTCGAAGTTATATTTCATACTAAGATCATTAAAATTTTTGACAGTTTATTTCCCATTTGCATATTAATTTTGACAATTAAATATATTTGGGAGATTAAAACTTTACTGTCATTTACTTTTGACAAATTTTACCACATGAAAATTGAGATCATGTTGGTAAATATAAACTTATATTATGTAATTCCGCTTGCTTTAGACAGGATATTAGACACGGAAGTGAGATTTAAGTAAACTGATTGAATCAACCCATAAAGATTTTTGGATAAATTTGAAATTAATAAGAAATTACGCATTCTTGCTATCTTTTGCATGTCAAATATAAAAAAAATGGCAGCGATATGCAATTTTAGAGGTTATTCGTAGAAATTTTGATCTAGTGATAAATTGTTTTTTGATAAAAAATTTTGACAAAATAAAATTAGATTTTATAAAAAAATTAATGGAAGCAGCTAACTAAAAATCAATTCGATTTTAAAACCTTGAAAAACCTTTTATTTTTATTATATTCTGATTCCTTTCTATTGAAACAATTCAATTTCTATTAAAGGAAAAAAAAAACAGTATAAATTTTACGCAAAATACATTATGAATAAGAAACGTAAGCTATACAATATATTTATAACTTTCATATCAATTTATATAAGCTTAACAAACTGAAAATAAGAAAANCTATTCAATGCAGTAATATCTTTATTTAATATTTGGTATTATTTACTTTAAAAATTACTTATTTTTTATCTATATTAAAGTCCTTTTGATTTAAAATGGGGTTTTGGGATTTATTAATAAATTAAATACATTTCTATAATTAAAAATAATCTTAGCATCGCTTACCTGGCAGACATATCGGATTTTAATGATGAAAAGATTACTTAATCATGAATCTTTTAATGAAATTTCTTCCCCTAGACATTCGAAGTTATATTTCATACTAAGATCATTAAAATTTTTGACAGTTTATTTCCCATTTGCATATTAATTTTGACAATTAAATATATTTGGGAGATTAAAACTTTACTGTCATTTACTTTTGACAAATTTTACCACATGAAAATTGAGATCATGTTGGTAAACATAAACTTATATTATGTAATTCCGCTTGCTTTAGACAGGATATTAGACACGGAAGTGAGATTTAAGTAAACTGATTGAATCAACCCATAAAGATTTTTGGATAAATTTGAAATTAATAAGAAATTACGCATTCTTGCTATCTTTTGCATGTCAAATATAAAAAAAATGGCAGCGATATGCAATTTTAGAGGTTATTCGTAGAAATTTTGATCTAGTGATAAATTGTTTTTTGACAAAAAAATTTGACAAAATAAAATTAGATTTTATAAAAAAATTAATGGAAGCAGCTAACTAAAAATCAATTCGATTTTAAAACCTTGATAAACCTTTTATTTTTATTATATTCTGATTCCTTTCTATTGAAACAATTCAATTTCTATTAAAGGAAAAAAAAACAGTATAAATTTTACGCAAAATACATTATGAATAAGAAACGTAAGCTATACAATATATTTATAACTTTCATATCAATTTATATAAGCTTAACAAACTGAAAATAAGAAAAAATGTTTTGTTGGTAATATTTAAAAAAAACTATAAGGCTGTAATGAATTATTAAAACATTATTCTTTATAATAATGATGTTTGGATTTTTTTGGAATTATCGTGCTCAATACAGTAATAGACTTTTAACATATAATAACTTTTAATAATTAAATAAACATTGTGTACATTAGTCTATTTTCATATTTAGGCTATATTTTTCATCAGATTTTCTAGAACAGTGTTTCTCAACGGGGGCGATATCGCCCCCATGTGGGCGTTTTTCCATGTTGAGGGGGCGATTAGTAACAATTTATATTTTGGGGGGGGCGAAAAACAATTTTCTGGGCGATATAGTAAAACATTATATTAAGAATAATTAGATATTTTATTCGTTATATCGTACAATAATTAAACAAATAACATTATACTAGTCACTAGTCTATTCAATGCAGTACGAATTTGGCGTTAGCCTTGGCCCTCGGCATCGGAATTTTGAAGTGAAGGGGGCGATACTACGTAACGGTTTTATTGAAGGGGGCGATACTACGTTGAAGGGGGCAACAATTCGTTAGAGGTTGAGAAACACTGTTCTAGAAGATATTAATTTAGTTAAGCACACATTTACTTAATGCATATAATATTAAAAATTTTATAGACACTAAACAATACATACAATCAATATGAAGCATAAGCCATACATTTTTTACGTACAATTTTATGTACGATAAAAGTATCGCATTTGAAATGAAAGTAAACATATAAAAATGTTATCTCTATGAAACGACGTAGAGATTATTAATATTCAAATATTAGTAAATTGTTGAAAATTTAAAAATCCCAAAATTATTAAAAACATAAAATATATTTGATTTCTAATGTGAAAATTGAACCACCTCTTTTAAATTATTAAATATAAAATATTCTAGTCAATTAAGCTCATATTTAAAAAGTAACTATTGTTTATTTTTCTATAATTCTAAATGTCATCTTACGTAGATATAAATAATTTGGAAAAATTTTTATAATGAAAAATGAAAATATTTATCTGTCTCGGTCTTTATTTCTGTAAAATCAATGTCTACCTGTCTAGAAATTAAATTGTATTGTATTGTTGTTTTGTATTATTAGTTTATTAGAACTAAAGTAAACAAGACAGATTGAACAATAATAAGCAATAAAATAAAATGTTACAAACATTATTGTTGATAGAATTGTTGTATTGTTACATAATGACTGTAATAATTATTTAAAAATTAATTATTATTAATTAATGCTTTAAAATACTTACCAAAGATGTGATTAGATAATTGTTGTATTCTGTCATCAGTTGAAACTTTTCAGCCTAAATTTAAATTTTAATATCAGTATGTAATGTTGAAGTAAATATATTTCAATTATAAATGTTAAATATATCCAATTAAAATTAAAATATGTAAGTAATCTGAATATACAATCACTAATGAGTATATGTAATTAATAATAAATAAATTTACGAATATTTGGCTTTCTGTTTATAATAAAATCTAAATTGTTATAAGCTGCAAGATGTGCTATTTATAGTAGTTTTTCAAAAAGGAATTAACTTTGTTCTTTAATAATATTAATTACTTTCGTCTGTATTAAATTCTGTAATAAAATTGTTAATTTTTTCAATGATCTTATAATTGCAAAAGTCGAAAAAAATAAAAAAGCTAAATTTTAACTTTCTTAATTTTCTGTTGATTATAATATAAAATTTTTAAAAACGTGAAAAATATTAAATGCTCTTTTCGCGTGACTTAATTAGAGACTTGAAAGTGGTGTTAAACTGATGATAACCGTAATATAACACTACGTAACTTTTAAATTTATAAAATTTTTAACAATTTAATCTAAACAAAAATTTCTTTCAAGAAAAGAATTTTAATTTTATTAATTTAAAAACCTCAAGTCAAAATATATAACAATATTTAAATATTGAATACAAAACAACATTTCAATTTATAATTTCTAATAGAGAATAATTATAACATTGACTATTCAAAAATATAATTGTTCAATTGTTTAATGTCTTTTCAAACAATTAAAAAATCTGTGCTTTTTAATTGTTTGAAAAGATATTTTCGTTCATTATTATTATTATTTTTTTCTTTTATCTTTTCTTTTTTCTCAAATGTTTGATATATTTAATTATAATTTTTTATCTTACTTGTTAGTAATTTTAAACATTTATAACACATTTCTTGTTATTTTATTGTATTTTGTTTATGAGTTAACTTTTACTTACATCTTTTTTAATATATAATATTTAATCTTAATACGAAACAGTCTTAATAAGAAAAATATTTTTTACATTTTTTCCCCCATTATCTTTACATTAACTTCATCTTACCTTCAGGCTTGGTTCTAATATTTTATGCTTGAAACTTTATCCAAGATACAATAATTATCTTTAGTGTTACATATCAATAAAAATTTTATTATTAACAAATTTCTTAAATCTGCCTTACGATTAGTAAAATTAATGTGAAGAAAATCAGATTATTTAACTAATCTGTGTTGACAAAACAGAAAATTAACTCTATAATGACATATTAATAATTTAAATATGCATAAATTTTAAAATATACATAAAATTTAAAAATATGCATAAAATTTTGCATAATAAAAATATCTCACAAATTATGTAAAGTTAGTAATATTAATTGCAGCATAAATTACGAATAGTGCATATTCTATTCATTTTAATTAATAATTATTCTTTTTTAAATTTATTCTATTTTAGCGAAACTATTTTTGAAATATATATTAATAACAATAATTGAGTGAATGAAACAAAAACAATCTTTACACCTTAAACTATCAAATCTGTCTAAACTCACCTTCTATAAAGTTACTTCCTTTTTTAAGTCATACAAAATCATTCCAATTTGGGCTCTACACAAATTAATAATGCTAAAATTATACTTCTATATAGTCTAATGTCACACTAATTTGATAGTCTCACCTACACCATACAATATTGTATGAAGTTCCATTTGATAGGACAACCCAGTTGATATCCTTAGTTTTATTTTTGTTTTTAAAATCATGTTTTTATAGCTACATTAAGACAACACGTCTTAGTGTGATTATATTGATAAATACGTTGTTTTGTAATGAAAGAGGATAAAAATTCTTTATAACTAATATATTTTTGGTTATTATACTTGAGATACGGGAAAGAAAGGTGAGATCTGAGAAACATATATTGATCTCAGCCACAATGAACTTGTTACATTCAATAAATGAATTTAATCTCTCAACTTCTATATATTGTTTCAAAAAAAGCAAAATAGGAAACTAAAAAGGAAAAATAAAATAGACAGTTTTATCTCAGGACCCACAGATCAATTGCTTGAATGATTTCGGAAACGTGACATTAAAAAATAAATAAATAAAAACGCTTTCATTGGTCATGTTTTTCGAGTTTGGGCTTGGGAATGTGAGATGGCACCACCCCACCATATACTTCACTACAGTGCATTTAATGATTAAATTCATCGCCAAGATTAAATCCTACATTTGGTTAAGTTTATCGTGTTTCAGAATGGGGAGGATGTCTCATCATCCTCCCCATTCTGAAACATCCCACTCTCATCATCCTCCCATCCCGAACGTCATTAAAATGTATTGTCATAAAGCTTAGAAATCTGAAACTTTGAGGACATACCTATCTTGATTAGAAGTGGGTGAAATTTAAGTTGCAAGATTTGAGAACGACACAAAGTAAGTGCAATTTAAAAGCGTTTTATATAAGAAAGTAAATTTTTAAAAAGTAGAACCGCATTGTACTTTCTAACGATAATAATGACAGCTCATCTGCCATTATTATTGTTAGGAAGTGCTCATAGAAATCATTTTCAGTTCAAACAACTATGAACATAAAAATAATAAGAAAAGACAGTACCACCTGAGTAAATCGAAATCGCACTAAACCTAATTTTTCCGTTTTACCGTTTTAGATAGGTGTTCCTCTATGATTTGCATAATCTAGATCACGTGCCATAAATAAAACTTTGATTCTGATTTGCTACGAGTAACATTATAATTATGTTTATTAGATAATTGTATTTATTTATTTATTTGTATTCAAAACTATTATATTTACTTATAAATTTTTATATCAAAATTGTATTCACTAAAAAATTTATTTTCATACAAAACTATTAAAATTTTTTCCCATATTTTCATATAACAAACTTATTTATGATAATTGAGTAGACGCATATAAGTATTTCATTTAAAATAAAACTGATAATTTGTATTAAATTCATTTTTTGAAAGGGTTATAGACATGTTTGCAATATTTGAAACTTTTCAAAATTATTGTTTAAACTAATAAATGTTAATATATAAAAATGGAAGATTTTTATATATTTATGCTTCTTCTGTAACAAATTTATCAAACACACTTCTCAGAATATTAAATTTATCAAATTCTATCCGTTTTCTCAAAATGATATCTCGAAAATTCTATTTTGATTCCACTTTATTCAAGAAAACTTTCAAATATTTTTAGAAAGAAAGTCATTTCCTAATGTCAAGTTATATAGATTATACACTCTCTTTTTCCTCTATTTTTCTGTCGGTTAAATGTTATATATACTACTGGTGAATAGAAAGATAACGTCGTGACATTTATTTTAATTTAAAATATTAATAATGATTTTAAAATAAACGTTCATTTTTCTACATTTTCTGTTTAGAAGTCTATAAGTAAGTTACCAAAATACATGTAAGGATTATAAAAAGATCTATTTTATCTTTTAATATAGTTATCAGTTAAAGAAAACTGTAATGATTAAAATAAATTAAAGAATATCTTTTAAAAAATATATTGAATGTAAATAAAATATATGACATTTAGAAGTTATACTTTTTTATCATAAAATCTCAGTAAGAATCCATATTCTACGAAATAAAGATGAACTTTTATATTAGTTTTTTATTAAATGAATTCATTTTTCCAGATTGGAAACTTTATATAAAAATAATTTGATTTCTAATTAAAATCTTAATTTTGTTTACTTATAGATTCCTGTATTTGTAATATTTTTTAAAAAATGAGTTTTTTTGTAAGTTTAATTAAAAAATATATGCGTATAACATTTTGATCATTAATTTAGAAATAATATTTTAAGAAGATTTTTATAACAACACATGAAAACTTAATTTTAAATTAAATTAATTTTTTTAAATCATAAATGAAATGAATGTATTTACAAATATAAATAACATCATCTACCCTGAAATTATTTTTGATAATTAAAAAATTTTTGAAAAAATACATTATTTAAAAATTCATTACCGTTAATAGAATTTTTTAGTACATTCTTTTAGCTTTCTGTAATTTATTTATTATTATTATTTTTTTAATTTTTAACATGTTCATAAATCATTTTTCTGTAATAATTATTTCTTAAAATTTTATCTTAATAAATCTTAAAATAAATATAAGTCAATAAGTCAATTAACTACTTTGTATAAGAATTAATTTTCTAGTTATAAGTTTTATATAAAAGTATTAATTTAAAATGTAGTTAAATTTTAAATGGAGATAGCCTAATTTATATTTGTAGATTACCACAAATTTAGATATTATTACATAAAAATACAATATTGTTGACGAGTAGGAAAAATATTAGCGATGTTATTGATATTTTTCTGAGAAATCCTACTTAAAATGTGTTTTTCATTTTAAAAAATAAGATAAATTCACATACTTATAACACATATTAATGCATAAAAACTATAATTATCTGAGAAAAAATCTGATATTTAATATAAAAAAAACTTGATTTAAAAGCTCTTAAACTTACCATAAAAACATTCATTTCAAAATAATAATGACGTTATTATTTTGAAGAAAAGTGTATTATATTACAGTAAGTTAATCTGTTTTTTGAAAAAACAATAAAATTAAATTGAAAAAAATATATATTTCTGTGTTATAACTTAGGAGAAGTATTGAAGTGATGTATTATAAGCGCAAGTGCTTTAGGTGAAATTGTAAAATAGCATGTTCTATAATTAAACTGTAATTACATGATTTATGATAATTAAACAAATTTTTTTAAAATAATCTGTTAATTGATGCTTATAAAATCGTCTCCATGAAAAAATTAAGGATTAAGTTCTTAATTATTTTCTAAACATTCACATAATTAATTATATCAAGTTTCTCATTATATTTTCTTAGTTAAAGAATAAACATGCTAGCAGATATGCCCGGCGCTTTTCAGGCAAAAAATAAGAACAAACACTAAATGAAAACCACGCAGAAAGTTTGATTATTTTAACTCACCATTGTCATGTTTAGCATGAAGTGTTAAATAAATAAATAAATAATAATAATAATAAAACAGACTACAAACAAACAAAAATCTAGTTTGAAGAAGGACAAAACTAAATCAATCTTATTTAAATTCATTTAACAAAAATAAAAACAAATGAACAATCAGATATAAGGAAACAGACCAAAGATTCACGCTCGGTACCCTAGAAAACCCCGAGTATATATTTCGTGTTTGCTAAGGTTGTGATACTCGAATGGTACGGAATGATGTAATTTTATTGCTCGGGTAGACAGGAATTGATGTTTTTTGAAAAACATCAATTCCTGTCTACATGACAGAAAATAGTCATTGACTTCCGTCTGTACGAGAAGATAATCCAAGACATCCAAATTTTTTCTAATGTTAACTCTAATGTACTGTACCATTCATAGCCGAATATGAAATGGTAATCGGCCAACTAATCAAATTTTCAGAAAAATGGATCAAATAGTTAAGCTCGGCATCCTCCAAAACAAAAACCTCTAAAAATATATTTAGTGCTCGCTGATAACTTTTTTAAAATAAATTTTCCTATTCAAATACATTCATCCCGCTGATCACATAGATAAGAGGCATTTTACAGGAAGGAGTTGAAGTTATTTCCATTAAAAGTAGTCGTTGACCTCCTCCCGAATGTGAGGATGGCCCTGAAAAGTTCATTACATTTACTCAAACCGTGTCAAAGTGTACTAAAGAACAAACTAACTAACTAATTTTTTCATATATTAGATAAATACTGATACAAATTATAATTTTATTGAAATTAAAAAATATATATTATCTAATGATTATCGATAATATTGTAATATAGATATATTTATAATGTTATTCAATTACGAAATTTAATTTACCTTGATAAATTAGTTTTGATTTTTATAAATATTATATTCTTTTTAATTAATTTTTTAAGCGTAATTTTTTATTTTAGAATCAGTATTTAATAGAACAAGATTAATTTTTAAATCTTAATTTTTAGAAAAATTTTAAGTACTGTACAATAAAATAACATTATAATATAAAGATATGATAAATTTATAAAGCAAGAAAACTATAATTAATATATATATACACAGTGAAACCTGTGTATACCGGATTCGTACGATACTGAATATATTTTTTTCAGTTTTGCAGGTCTCTGTTTTATTAAGGTTCCGCTTCGGACAGGTTTTATTGTACAATACATAAAATAAACAATTTAAAAGAAATTGTTAATACGAGTATAAAATCAATATATAGGTACACATAGCCAATTATATTTAATACGGAAATTCCCCATTTTTGTCATATTTTACAGATATAACAATAAAACTAAAAGATGGTATTTTCTAATAATCTCTAGAAGATAGACTTTTTCCAGCAATAAAATGGATTAGATAAATTTTATTTCTACATGATTAAAGTTATGGTTTTGAAGATAACCATTAATCTGATAATATAATAAATCACAGAGAAGTAAAATAAATAAATGACTATTATGACAACATACGGTATATGCTTTTTATTGTTTAATCTATAAACTAGAATGATTAATAATAATGATTTTAGATTATTTTTAATAAACATTACTACTACAAATTGTATAATAACAAGTAAATATTTTAAATTTAAATTACTGTACTTAATAAAAAAATTTAAATGTAACATACCACTTGTAGAAAATGATGTAATTCATTTAATGGTAAATCAACAATAATATTTGTTTCATCATTTTTTGATATTTCTTTCAGCAGTTTTTCATAAGGTTCTCCTGACAAATGTTGTCGAAGACTGCAATATTTCTTTTTCTCTTTGAAGTACTGTAATAGTCGCGATATTTTTGTTAATGCTGAAAAAATGACACAATATTATAAAAGGAAATACATTTTTTAAAATAAAAACTTTATTAATTTTGATTTTAAAACAGTAACTATAGTCTATAATTTTTAATCAAAAAAATTTTTTAAATATTCATTCTATTTTATTATCTACTACGTAACACTTGTCGTTCCTTGCTATCTCTTATGCTAAATTCATTTCTTTATTCACGTAATTGTCCTATTTCACTTGTGCAGTACATCCAGAAAAAGTACAATAGATAACTTTCCATGCCAAAATTGATGGATTGCAGTGACTACTAATGGATGATGAACTTAATTTCTTTTTCTACCGAGTAAATGGATTTAATTTTTTTACGACATGGAAAGTCACATTGCTCGCATGTTTGAAATGTTTTCTGCGAAAATTTAAATATCTTGAGAAGACTTCAATGGATAATCAATAAATATTTCTCTTTTCGAAAATTTAACATATATTTTACAAGTATTAAGTATAATTAACTGCCAATAATATACCTGTAGAATTCATTTTGTGATGATTAATTGTGATATATAAATCTTGCAGATTTACGTTAATAATAATTAGAACTATTAAAGTGAAGAGCAGTGTACCGAGTAAAATATTAAAAAAAACTAATTTATAACTGTTAATATTCTGTTTTTTTAAATATTAATAATTTATAAAGATAAATGTGATTTGGATTTGTATAAATGGCAAACATTCCAATATCCTTATAAATGTGAAGATTTTATAGGATTTAAGTAAAGATCGTAAATCCTTGAAAAATCATTATGGTTCATGTTTGTTTCATAACAGAATTTCTATAATATAAGAATAAATTATATATTTATCTTCCAATCGTGTTATTTACAAGTGAAAACAAAATAATTATAAATTAAATATTAATTTAAAAGTAAAAATCTTTAAAAATATATAAGTCTATGTCTCATTCAGTTCATATTTAAACAAAAAAAAATTTGTTAAAATATATTTTTAAATATTAATNCCAGACAAAGATTGTGGAATGCAATGATTTAGAATTATCAGCCAAAAGGAAGTACCTGCCATTATCGTCTGTGGATCTTGAACTATTTCTTTCTGCTTACAGGGATATCGTTTCATGAAAATACAAAAAAAATTACATTTTAAATTGAGGAAAGGATTACCATTGTGAAGATCACCATGTCCCCACGCCAAAAATTGATGTTACTATATATATATATATATATTCACATTAACTTAATAAAGTCTGCAATAATTTAAAATATAATAAAATTTATTATATTTAAAAAGTATTGTTCGTAAGTTTTAAAAATTATTTATAAGTGAAGAAATATTCAATATACAATAATTTATTTCAAAATTGTTTTAAACGATTATAAATAAAATTTTGAGATGTATAATATCATTATTTTTATTTTAAAAAGTTTTTCAAAACTCTTATATCATAAATTAATTTTTAGATCTTCTGCTTTCATAGCAATATTATAAAACAAAATTTTATTTAATTTATTTTAGACATCCTTTTTCATTTATTAACTAATACGATAAACTTTACGGACTGCTTACCTTCAGTTTCCCGATAAACAATCGTAAATTTTCCCGATTTCCACACCTCTGTTAAGTCTTTATAGGCTTTAGCTAAACTGGATGGATGCGGATAGAGATTCACTCCATAAGAATTTGTTTGGCGAATGTAATTCCATGCTATTTGTATGTAAGGAATATCGTATTTTCTAGCCACAGACTCCACTAAGTTACTTGTGGATGGTGATTCAGGTCCGAAAATTGCTGCTACACCTTTATCCAGAAGATTGCATGCTGTAAGAACATGGCAACAACAGTAATATATCTCTTAGGTGGACACGTTATTATATAAAGAATTTACTTCAAAACAAAAAAAAAAGCGAGAACATGTATTCTACTTTTACACGACTTTCTAGTTAGCTTATTAAACTATGCAAATATATTTATATAAATATGTAAATACAAGCGAATACATTCTTTCTCAAAATTTTATAAAAACTTTATTGCATGATTATGTTAATTTAGTAACACAAATATTTTTATATAAAAATTGACATAACGGTTTTAAAATATTAATGAAATTGTAAATTATAAAAAAATATATCTTCCTTATTTTTAAAATCTATTTTTAAAAAGTCAATTTTTCATAAATTGTATTACATAATTGACAAGTTCAATAACTCTGGAAATATCACAATTCTATTTTGGTAGAATGAGTTTAATCATGTGACAGGAAGAGGCCCTTCAAGGTCGTTTTTGGCAATCAACCTTTGTATGTCAGCGTGTAACCCAGACAGATAAGCATACAAGTAGAAAGGAGAAAAGCATCCATCCCTCATGACAGGAAGATAAACATACACAAAAATTTATATATATAAAAAAAAACCTAATCTTTAATGTGATGAAATTATAGCCTTAAATATATTTTAAAGTATATTTTAAATAAATAGTTTAAGCACCATCGATCATTCCGGTTATTTTATGATTAAAACAAAGCTTATTTAATTTATAATAAGTTTCATTTATATACATACTTATATTATTATTTTAATTATTTTTAATACAAAATAATTACAAATTATATATTTACTTCTAAAAATTACATTTAATAAAAATAAATATAATTTTCAGAAATAAATTATAATAAACTGTGATAAATAATCAAATATTTTATAATTATTAGAAATAATGTAGTGAAATGAGTATCGTGAATAAATGAAAGATAATATTTTTCAAAGTAAATGCAACATCTGACAGAATAAATGAGAAAATTTCTTAATATCGACTTTTAAAAATAAAATATCCAAACAATTAAATTCGAAATTGGCAGCAATAATTTATCTACTTTTAGAGTATTCTAAATCTTGGAAATGGCTAACTGAGATAAAACTTAAGAGAGAAGATATATAGATGTAATGAAAAAGAAAATACCAAATAGTTAGTAAGCCATGATATCAATATGAATTGCTCGATTCCAGATGGACCCATTTTACGATAATGAATAACTCTAGTAGATAAAGGTCTGAATATTTTCATTTACTTTCAATTGTTTGTGTACTCATGTAATAACAAATACATTTTTATATAACAATTTATTACGAACTGAATTTTTCTTTCATTATAAATCCACTCTATATATATGTTTATATACTATCATGATAAATGTTTATATATAAAGCTAATTTATCATATGATTTAACATAATAACTAAAAGAAAATAAAGATATTTGTATTTCTGATGGAATTTTAAAAATTTTACATATATAAAATCCTAGATTGAATTTTTAAAGTTTTATTTATTTTCGCTGGCTTTTTTGTTATTTATGAAAATAAAAATATAATTTATTATCATACTTTCTATTTTGCTACATTTTAAACTCTGTTTTATTTATATGTTGCTCTATCTTTTAATATTGTGCAATTTTACAAATTATTTTTCTATATAATATTTTATGAACGTAATTAAAATGTTAAAGTTTCAGTTCAACGAAGCATATCCAACTGTTTAGATAAGAATCATTATTTACCATTAATTTGCAGTTTCGTGTATCGTACAATTATTTGTCATTAATACTCATAACTGTTAAATTAATTCTTTAAGGCAGGTATAGAGTAAAATTTATTTTTACTAACTCGTTCTGAACTCTTTTATGAACTAATTATAAAGATACGTGAGAGTTACAAAGGAACAGTAACTCTCGTTGTACTTGATTTTATTATCGTTCAATAAATCAGGTTTTTTCCCCCCAATTCCTTTATATCTTTTAGCTTTATCTCAAAAGTTAATTTACTAAAGTTGATGTAAGAATGGTTTCAATTGGTAAATAATTTGCATGACTGAGTACTACTTCAAATATATATTTTGAATTAATTTTACATTTTAAAATATAAGATAAATATCTATGAAGTTTTTAAATATTAATTAGTTAAATTATTTATGCAAAATCTAATAAAATAAAATAAAAGTTATATTTATTTTAGTGATTAATTCATCTAAAAATATAGATTTTTTTCACTTCATTTAGCAAATTAAATAAATGTAACAAACTTCATAATGCAGATTCATGAAGTTTATCATTTTTCCATTAATAAAAGCAATTTAAATAAAAAAACAAATAAATAAAATTAAGCTGTATGTTAATAAATAAATACTGTTGTAATATCTGTTACGTTATGAGCAATTTCTTTGTTTTTGAAAATGTATTAAGAATAAAACCATAATTTTAAAGCTTGTTTCCATGTTATAATTGACAATGATTACTGAATAATAAAGAAATTACTGTATAATGTTATCTCAACTCCGTAAAAAAATAAGTTTAATTGACGGCACTTAACATGCAACAACTGCCAAATATTTTTTTTACACATTAAGGAAGATTTTAATCTATTAACTCTAATTACTGATATAACTCATATTTAATAGATATTTTCTTTCTTCCTAAATGTTATATCTAAATATATTTATCAAAAAGTTTTAACCAAGCGTTTTTAATTTTTAAATAACAATAATAATACTTTTTAAAATTAATATTATTATTATAATTATTATTATTATTATAGAAGAGGACAGTTCATAATATATATAAAAAGACGAAATAATTTTAATGAAGAAAGATGAAACTACACTGCTTCTTTTTCTTACTTACTGGCTTTCATAGTTTGAATGCTATCGCTCGGATAAATTTTCATTATTTCAGCAGATAAAAGCGAATGTGGCAAAAGAGTTTTATTTTTATTAACTTTATTAATTGCGTCTATAAAAACTTCATCGTAATCTTCGTTCTCTTCAAAAATAGCGCCTGTAATTAAATAAAAATTCATTAGTATAATTATATGCCTATTTCTTTTATTATTAAAATTACTTTTTTCTTAAATTTTTAACATTAGTTTTGCCTAAAGAACCATTTTAAACGTTTCCAATTGAAATATATTTAAATATTCGACTTATTAAGCAACACTGATGTAACCAAATAGGGCAATTGAAAGAAAACAATATATATAGAAAATAAGCTCTCTTTCTATTTTCTTTTTTTAGAAATCCGTCTTGCTGAAATAACAGTTGATGTAGGTGGATAACACTACATCTATTCTGGTTCGCGGATCTTCAGTTGCATTCCTTTAATATCTTTATTGTTGGGTACTGTGAGTAAAATTGCTGATTCTTCATCACACTAGGAAAACAGTTTCTGTAAAGTTCCCAAAATACATTCGAAGACGTTTAAAAATTCTAGTTATTAAATAACGATTAGAATCAAATAAACGGAATTGACACTCGATAAGGAATAAGTTATCTTCTTTCGAATCTACAGAAAATTCTAATGTTTATACCTACGCTAATATTTACTTTATGTTAATTATAAAGAAAATAAACTATTTTCAGATTGTTAATTGTGTTATTTAACTTAAAATCATACAAACACACGAAAGTAATAAAATGCTGAATGCGTTTATTGAAATAGAACGAGATGTGTAAGAGAAAATTCGGCAGGATAAATGGAGATATTTATATCCTTGTACCAACTACATTCCAAGAATGCTTACACCTCCACATTATGCCGAAATGATATAAATACGGATATTGTTGAGAGTATCATTAGCATCGATTTCGAGGAAATATGCATTTCAAAATATAAATAATCTTTTTACTAGTTGTTAATTAAACACAGATGCTTGAATTATGTAATAAAACTATTCATATTTTGAGTAAATGTTAAAAATGTAATTTATTATTGATTAAATTTTGATATTTTTTGAAAGGAATTAATTCGAAGATATATTTCTTCGGTATTTTTTCTTCATTCATTCATGTATATTATTTTTCCTTGGGGTGCTATTACTAGTGGATAAACACATAATTTCTAATAAAATACATGACTTTTCCTTCTTTTAGCATGTCATATAATACGAAGATAATGAGAAATACTTTCCTTAGAGCTTTATTTTAACAGAAATAATGTTTTCCAAGTAAATTACATTAAACATATTTATATTTTTGCTAAATATTTTTTTAAACTTAATTAATTTATTTTTGTCAATTATAATTAAAAAATGCAGTTGATTTTATGATCAATTAGCACAATGAAGATTAGGAATTACAATTACCAGTTTTGTTTATATATTCCAAATATAGTTTAAAATTTTAAACCAACTACAAATGAGTAAAATTAGCATTGAGTGTCACGTTATACAATACGTCAACACTATTCTTTTGCTTGGCTAGTATTAAAATATTATGCTAACATTAGCAATTAATACTAGCATTGTTAATTTTAATTGTTAGTGTCTATTTTGTACAAAATATATATATAAATAAACGGTTTCTAGTTTTGTTAGTGATAGTGTTTTTTTTGTAACTTACCTACTTTAATTACTTGAGGTAAACAGAATGTGCTTGTGCAAATTAAAAGAAAAATAAAAAACAAAAATAAATAATTTATCCAGAAATATTCAATATTCTTCATAATTTGTTGTATTTCGATTCTTGCATGCTAAAAGTGTATCTCATCATTGGGACTCAGCTATTCAGTCCCATAAACCAGCGACAAGTCCACAGTTTTGTCTGATGTGTAACACATGGTACTTTCATCAAATGAAAGAACTTTCTCTCTCTAGGCATGCGTGATCAAGTTGACAGCTTCGAATTACTGGACACAGCAACCTCCTCTCTAACAGTAAACTGAAATTGGAAAGTGCTCAGTTATGTAAATATTTAAAATGACAATCTCTAAGATGTAGCCATTTATTTTTTATTTTTTATTGTTTTTTTGTTCATAAAATTACAATTCTGTCAGAAAAGCAGACATTTTTTAAAATAAGTTGTTCAAACTAGTTTCTAATTATAATAACTTTTAATTAAGTGAATAAATGGAGATTGTTTACCTGTATAATTTATTTGTTTTATATTAAAGAGAAAGTGCAGTCGTTGATGTCAAGTTTGACTTAGTTATTCAATTCAGTAAAACTGGGGTGATAAAATAATGAGAAAATTTTAAAAAAATATTTTTTGTATATTCAACATATCTTAAAATTAAAATAATATCGTAAAAGTATTGCGGTCTTCGTTAATGCATTAATTTTAACGAAATGTAGGCCTATTTCTTATACGAACTGTGTTTATTTTTATGCACTTTTTCTCCTTCGATTTTGTATTTTAGACACTTTAAACTGTTAAACAAAAGTATTGGTTTAAACCTGTATCAAAATGCATACTATTTTAAGTTTCATGAATAAGCTACTTCATATTTAGGCCCTATTGATAGAATAATAATGTTTTCAATCTTTAAGAGAATTTTATTAATAAACAATAAGTTAGACTTATATAGAATACACAATATTAATAACCGTTTTAATCAAATGAACTTGTTATTAATATGCTAATACATTAAATCCATTATAATTGATTTCGTAATAATTCACATCTTAATATCTTAGATCCACATTAGGAGTTCATTTATAATTCTGTTTATAAATTAGCGAAGTGATATTACCACATATTTTATTTAATAAATATCATTAATACATTTATGGTTATTAACCTCAATATTTATTTTCTTTATTGGATAAAAATATGTGCACAGAATTAATGTATTGTAATGAAGTAACAAATTAAAAAATATAATGATATTCTAACATAATTAAATTATATATAAAATCATAATTTATAATTAATTAATTAATTAATTATATTTATATATAAGTCTACATATATATATTTTAATCATTGTAATATTTTTTCTTTAAATTATCATAAAGCGTTGAAAATCCTAGAAAGTAGACGATCTATACTCTATATATAGCTAATGTTATCCCCTGCTGTTCTTAAGTACGTTCTGTAGTTTATCTGAAAAAAAAGCTAAGTCCAGGAAGCTGTAGATCCAAACAGTCTATAAATTACACAAGCTCGATAGCATGTGATGGTTTGTGCATCAACTTAATCCTAAAGAAAGTTTTGTTTTTATTTATTATATAAAATTATCATCTCATTCATTTTCTCGAGTGTAAAGAATAATTTATTACTTTTCATTTATAAATATTATCCGCAGAAAAGATTATTTCTAATTACATTTATATTTTAGGAAATTCTGCACAAATTTAACAATAAATTATGTAGTTAAAAAACACAATTTATTCGTTTAGTCTAGTTTAGAAACTGCTCGTTGTAATGGAGTGGGGTATTGATTTAAACCAAAATTATACAAAAACAAAAAAAATACTGACAGTCAATGTTTTATTAAGGAAAAAACATGATGTGTATCGAATTTGTCAAATCCATTAACCGATATAAAATATCACAGTACAATAAAAACTTTCATCTGACTCCTTTATTCGATAGAAGTGATGCTGCGCTATTGATCGCATAAGTGAAGTTGGGTCGTATGCTGGTGTTAATCTAAGCTCCTTTCCAGTAAGAAAAGTAATATGAAAGAAAAAAAAGCACTTCAGCATCCAGAACGAATTCTCTTATCTTCTCCCCCTGATTCATTTTTCTTTAATTTCTTTTTTGAATTACAGACTACATGCGCTTAACAGATTAATATCATTAATTTTCAGACATAACCTATATATTTAATTACCTATTTAAAATATTTAAATTGTTAAATACTGTTAAAATTGATATTATTAAATAAAATGTAATTTTTTAGCGATTATCTAATATATTCCTAACAAAATATTGATCAATCTTAACAATAATCTTAGTAATTGTTTTTAAAAATAATTTAAAGCCGCATTAACTAATAAAAAGTATTATTTTATATATTATATTAATATTTTACGAAGACGAAAACTTAATAAAACTTTTCTATATTAAGTAATATTCAATCGAGTTTTAAAAATAGATTAATGAAAAAATTCTATCATTCAGTTTTAATCGATAAATTATATATTTATCTTCC